AATAATTGCATGTATTTTTGCAAACATGCAGGAAATTCAGGATGTGCATGTGAGCGTTCAGAATCAGCAGCTGAAGATGGAGGTGATAGAGACGACCAGCCGGCCTGATCTGACCGCCGCGCTTCGGGACATCAGAGCTCAGTACGAGACCATCGCCTCCAAGAACATGCATGAGTCTGAGGACTGGTACAAGTCCAAGGTGAGTGTGTGTGTGTGTGTGTTCTACTGATGACAGCACAATACTGCAATACACACTGATCATCTACATGTGTTTTCTCTGTTAGTTTGCAGACCTGACCGATTCAGCCAAGCGTAATGCTGAGGCAATGAGACAGGCTAAACAAGAGACCAATGACCTGAGGAGGCAGATCCAAGCCCAGAACTACGACATTGACTCTCTCAAGAGCACTGTACATATGAAACCCTAACCTCTTGCTAAAGCTCATGTTCTGTAGTCGCTATATTTCAAGGCCGTAACCATGCATGTAACCGTACTCACTGTTAAAACTAAAGCATTTGTCTCCGGTGACCAGTAAGGCCCGCCTTCTTTGATCTGATTGACATGAGCACAGTTAGAAATGTAACTTTTTGGCGATTTTTAACTATGACTATGGTGGTTACGGCCCTGTTATAGTTGGCTTTACATAAAAACAATATAAGTCTTTGGGACTCCCTCATTTAGATGCATAATTGCGTGTGTTTGTGATGGTAGAACGAGGCTCTATCGAGGCAGATGAGAGAAATGGAAGAGCAGTTCGCCGGAGAGGCTGGAAACTATCAAGATACTGTGGGGCGTCTAGAAGAGGAGATACAGCGCCTGAAGGAGGAGATGTCACGCCATCTGCGGGAATACCAGGATCTGCTCAACGTCAAGATGGCCCTGGACATCGAGATCGCCACCTACAGGAAGCTTCTGGAGGGAGAGGAAAACCGGTAGGAGTGACGCCAGTGAGCCGCTTCAGCAGTTCTGCATGTTTTACTCCTGGTAACTGATGACCTTTGTACTTCGTCTTTCAGAATTACGGTTCCTATCATGAAAATGCCTTCGATGAGTGGTGGACAGTTCAGTGGTGGTGAGTCTATCATAGCTTATAAACGATCCGAAGGTGCGTAGGCACATATTGTACTCGTCGGCGTTCTTATTATTTTTCAGTTTCTTTTTCTTCCGCTCTGGGAGTCTATGGCAGCTCATAGAACCGCTTGCAGGATAGTTATGAAATTTGGCACTAGGGATGGGCGATATGGACTTAAAAATATATCACGATATTTTCTGGCATTTATTGCGATAACGATATCAATGACGATATAAATACAATACCATATTCACCACTGTTTTTGGCTACAAGTGATAGCTGCATGCAAAGTAAAATGTACCCTTCACCAAATAGGCTCCTATAAAATACAAATTACCATACATAAAATAATAATCAAAAAACAGTAAAACAGTAAACACCATCCCTTGCAGAAATGGAAAAGTTGCATCCCAGATAGCACAAGTCTATTTGATGTTATATTTACATCTGGAAGACGTATTTTTAAGAGTGTTTGCTCATCTGCAAGACGTCTATAGGACGTTTCCTGTCAGATGTCAAATAGACGTTTAGAAGATGTCACTTTAACATGCATTCTAAATCATTACATCTTAAAGACATCTTCTAAACGTCTATTTGCCAATCTTTAGCCTAACGGCTTCTACGGGGCTATAACGTAAGATACAAAGTAATGGAACATTTTATACATTGTCGTGTTTCTTTAGAAATTAATAATGGACAAATTAAGTCTTTGGACGCCTCAGATGTAAAGTTATTCGCTGTCAAAGTGACGCCAAAATGAATGGGAGTCAATGGGATGCTAACAGCAGGTGATGGTCTGCTACAATGGCGGCTCCCGCGAGGCTTCAACTTCCGGCTGATGGATTACCCCCTTGGCAAAAATAGACATAAGGCTGTATCTCCTCAAAGCTTTATCGTATTCAGACCAAACTTGGTCCATGTCATCAGAAGCATGACCTGGGGATACATGCTGCGTTTCGGCGCAGCGCCACCTACTGGTCCGGAGATACAAAAAATGTTTTCCGATGTTTGTCCAAAAATCATAAAACTGCCGTCATGCCGAATCGAATGATATCCATTTTTCCCATATCGGCTTCCCACACATTCCCAACTCACTCTGACCACACCACATCAATTTGGTCACAGCGTCACCTATTGGTCGAAAGTGATAAACCATTTAATATTTTCTATTGACTTTATTTATGATTTTTCAGGCATTTTGCCTAAAATCATCTTAATATGCCTTTAGTGTTGCAGTTGGTCTGATGCTCCCAGCCATGGTGGCGTGACATATTGTGTCCTTTTTCTGCTTGGCCCCTTAATGGCTGCTTGCAGCTATATTTATTATTATTATTATTATTATCCATTCCAGGGGCGTAGCCAGTATTGGGCCAGGGCGGCACTGGCCCGCCCACATTACTCACTGGCCCGCCCAGGCAAGTTTGATAAAAATACATTTTTAGTTTATTTTTATTCAAATGTATTTAAGAAAATATATTAATATATACCTGATTTATTGTTGACTGCTGTGTGTGTTTAATTCGTTTTCCGAATAAAATGAAACTGTCGAAGCAAGTTGTAGAAAGCCTCTCTCCGGAACGTTATTGGTTGCTATGGTTGCTGGGGGTTCCGACAGGAAAACTCACAAGCGTCGTCGGCGCCACAATAATGGCTAAACAACTTTCTTTAATGTGCTATTTGAAAAAAGCAAGAGTTGAGGAAGAAGACACGCCACTGCCTTCATCTACCGAGTCCACACAGCCCAGTTCTTCAAACTCATTAACCCAGAAGGCTAGTCAGGTGCTGGTGGCGGCTGCTTTTTGCTCCCTCTCTCCGTCAGCCTGACGCGGGTTTAGCCGCCGATCTAACTGCGATATTATTATTTTAGCTTACTTTATTTTCGGGTAAACTGTCTTTGGACTGCTGACTAGCCTGAATAAAATAGACAGGTTATTGTCTACACTGGTTTGTCCAGCCTTTATTAAGCTCTGTTGGTTGAACATGATGATTTGCCGAATATAAAGGTGTAACTGTTTTTGCAGTTTGTCTATTAATTTTTCTACTCTCTAAGGTTAATTATTACTGAAGTCATTTTTTTTCTATGAAAAACTATAGGCCCACTCACATTTTCACTGGCCCACCCAAAATACAATTTCTGCCTACGCCACTGATCCATTCAAGCATAAAAAGTTTTTAAAAAAGGGGGAAGAATCGCACGTACAGACAAGCCAGGCAAGCTGTATCAGTATTAGTGTTTTTATTTGAAATATTACCTTTGCATAAACATTACATGTCATTAGTGTTTTGATGTTTATTAATGGTTTTACTTGAAATGACTCTTGGTGTAACGGTTGATAACAGTATCAAGCTTAATATTGGTTTACAGGGGGAAACAACATGACTGAAACTTGACAACAACAGTTCCTATATTATCCTATGGTTAGAATAACCTTAAATAATATACAGCATATATAATACAGTATATTGATGCCATAGAATAACCATTTTTGGTTCCTCAAAGAACCTGTTAGTGGAAAGTTCTGATTTTTCCACCGTAAAGAAACTTTGAATTTGAAAGTTTCTACGCTATAAAAAAAAGTTGTTGCCTTAGATTTTTAAGGACAATCAACTTGGATAAGTCATTTCAACTTAAAAATTTCATTGAACTGACTTTAAAAAAAATTGTTAAATCTTGTGTAACTTAAAAAAAGTTGAAAATTGCTTACTGATGAGTTAAAGCAATGTACAAACACACCATAACTTATTGATCATATCTTTTCTTTTTTTTTTTTTTACAGTGAATGGATGTCAAAGGTTCTTTATGGAACCATCAATGCTAATAAAATTATGATTACTGAATTTTAATGTCATGTAATTTGTAATTAGTAACGAACTGCAGTTTATAAGTAATGACCACAACTTTGAAGTTTCAAAAAGCAAATAAAGGCAGCATAAAAGTAATCCATGTGACTCTACTCGTTTAATCCCAGAATTCAGAAGCTCGCTATCCATGACAATCTACTCCTTTTCACTAAAAATCATGAGATTTATTACGATCACAATGTCAAGCTTCAGAAGACAATTGTTTCCAGGTCTCCACTCAAAACATATAACCATTTCCAAAACACATTCATGATTCATCAGTGTCAACATTTTGAAAATCTTTCTACTACTAAATCATAAGTTGTTTTACTACACCTTGTTTGATGTCTTTGAACAGATTATGGTCAATTTTCTGATCCTGGACCTGGAAAGAAAGTCCTAATCAAGACTGTGGAGATTCGTGATGGAGAGGTGAGGTACTCCATCAGCAGATCTAGTGATTCTAATGAAGTGCTACAACAATAAAAGAGACTGTTTCATATTATTCACATTTTACTTATGTTTAATGTTACATCTCTCTACATTAAATGGTTTTGTTTTGTTTGTTAAATGTATATTTGCAGAAACACACACAGCAACATAGTGTCGGCCCACATCTGGAATCCACACGCACCAGATGTGGGCCTGATCTGGGCCGACACTATGTTGCTGTCTGGGAAACATCTGATTGATTCATTTGCTCATTGCTCAGGTGAAAGAATCTACAAAGGAAAAGAACCGAGATGAGAAGAAAGATTCACACGATCAAGGAGATTAGAGCGTCTAGATAAAAAAAAACAAAAAATGCTTGAGTTATTGATTGTGTGTTGCAATTTTTAAAGGACTCTAAGAGTAACATTTAGAGTGATGCTTATAGTGAATAATCAGCAAATGTTTGACTCAGTATTGTGTATACGATGGTGCTATTAACATGTATGTGCATAACATGACTGCCTTATCTGAATAAATCATGTGTGTAGACTTAATGTCACTAACTCTGGATATCCAACAAACATCAGAAACAATATTTCAGAAGTTCACGTGTCAATATAATCTTCAAATAAAAGAATGTAATGTGAATGTAAACAGATTTGGTTTGTTGTCTATAATGGAGGGTTTGAGCATGAGTTTTGACCCGTGATACAAAAGACAAACAAAATGTGCTTGTCTTCATCAATTAAAGCGAATGATGAAGACCAAGAAATGACCCAAGGAGAATTACAGATGGTTTTGATCATTTTGAACTTAATTTTTGAACAGGCCTTGTAAAAGAAAACTAGCCATTGAAGTTCTCTTTATATTTAAATAAAACCTTTATCAAGTCATTTGGTATTGAATTAGACTTTACTTTGATGGTCCACTTTAGATAGACACTCTACTAACTATAATTAACTATATTAGCAGACTGTTAGGTTTAGGGTTCAGGTTAGTAGAATAAGTTGACATACTTGAAAAGTTACTTATAGTCAGTAGAACATCTGTTTGGGAGCATCAAAATAAAATGTCAGCAGATATTAATCGGACAGTCTACTATAAAGTGTCAGCAGATATTAATCGGACAGTCTACTAATACTCTGACGACTGCTAGTTGACATGTAGTTGCAAAGTTACTTGTAGTTAGTGGAATATCTAAAGTGGACCATTGAAATAAAGCGTAACCTGAATTCTTTTGTTTTGATATAGCATATGAGAGGTGTAAATGTTAACTTTTACCTCAACAAAGTGAACGGCACAATTTACCCCCATTGGGCTCAACTTACCCCTCGTTGGGGTCAAGAGACCACTGCTTTCTTTGGAAAGTCATATTTTGAAAACAGTATTTTAGATCCTAAGTGATTATTTTCAGGGACGATTACATAGCAATAAAGAGAAAAGCTTGAAAATACCCCTAAAAAACAAACAAAAAAAAACAATTGTTTAACAATCCCACGTTTTTTTGTACAAGTAATTGGCGTTTCAGTTTATCAACGGACATTGTGTGCCGATGTAGCTAACAGTATCAAAATAAAGACGCATATAAACATTTTTTTTGGTTAGTCAAATTTAAAGTTTCATTGATACAGTGTAATTATACATTTAAGTGCTATTAATTAACATGTACTTACTATAGGGTTAGGATTAGGTTGAGGGTTAGTTGGATGTAATTATGCATAATTTACTGTTATCACTATAGTAATTAATAAGGACACTAAAAGTGAAATGATTTTTTTTTGTTGCAGTGATACATCATATATATTACATGTATCGATGCATTCCTGATAAAATCCCAAAGGATGCATATTAATATCTTTAGACCTCAAACACCCAAGGCAAACAATGCAAATCAACAATCAAGCACATCAAGACAGATAAAAGAGAGAATCTAGTAAGGAACAGGGGTACTTTTAATGTAAAGAGCAGAAAGAAAGAAAACAGCACTACAGGGATTACATGTGTATCACAAAATCAATCAAGAACTCTTCATTTTAAAAAAAGTAATAAAAAAAAAGGTCAGATCCATTTGTCTATACATTTCCAAACCGCTCAGCACGTTTTCGCTTCTTTGCCTGAAAGAGAGAGAAAGGGAAGAGGGTTACATCGTGAGAAACTCGAGATCGTAACATGGCTTCACAGGTCTATCTCAATCCACTCAACAACCGATCGCCAGATAATCCGTTTCCTTCAGGTGTACAACACAATGCGGAAACATATCTCTTGCTATTTCCTTTACATTGCGACTTTAACACTGTGTAAACACTCAATGAAGTGAGAGTTGGGAGAGAAAAGAACTTCATTAAATAACCCTTCACACCATGCCTTAAAGGGATAGTTCACCCCAAAATGAAAATCCTGTCAGTAATTACTCTCCCTCATGTTGTTCAACCCCGTAAGACTTTCGTTCATCTTCAGAACACAAATTAAGATATTTTTGATTAAATCTGAGAGCCGGATCACTCCTCCATAGGCTTCTATGGGATTGAAACTTGCCGGCACAGAAAAGTTATGAAAGACATCGTTAAAATAGTCCGAGTGACGACAGTGGCTCAATCTTAAAGCAACACCAAGGAACTTTTCCTCAGCGGTCGCCCTACAGGTTGGAAGCGGAATTGTCCATTACCGCTGTCGTAAATAATTTAGCCTAGCGCATCCTACTGTCGCACGCGCACGCTCGCTGTTTATCCAGCACCGGGTTTGGAATCAACAATGGCAGACATCCCAACCTGCAAGAAGTCATTTCATGGAGGTATATCTTGGTGACTGGATTGGTGACGGGGGTGGTGGGTTGACTAGCTTTCGTGAGGCACACTCGCAAGGTCTCTCGCTCTCTCCCTCTCTGCCGTGCTCGCGCTATGTATGTTATGCGCGCAGTATGTTCTGTCTCGCATGCGCGCTCTAGATTCCGGCAGATTTGAAATAATTTGCGGGCATCAGGGAGACGATATAGACTTGGGAAGTCTGCAATGGCCATAGACAATTTGAGGAAGTGGTGGGGGAAGTGATGTATGCCGTAAAGCAGTCGAGTTTTGTAGTTCTTTTTGTGCTCGGGTTACTACCCGAAACCCGAAGTTACATAGTGCGAGTAAAAGCGATACAGACCACGTCAGGCTATGGCAGACGTGTCATTTAACCCAGGGGTCCCCAACCCCCGGGCCGCGGACCGGTACCGGTCCGTGGTTAATTTGGTACCGGGCCGCACAGAAAGAATAAATAACTTACATTATTTCCGTTTTATTTATTCACACATTTACCTGTTCACATATCGTGTCTTTTGCGCGCTCAAGTTTGTTATTTCAAATGTAGGCGCCCGTTTTTTCCAAGCGCGTCCGCGCCGCCGCATCGAGATAAAAACATCTCAGCTTTTCAGAATGCCGCAAGCGCACTGTAGGTCACGTGACAAGAACCAACCAATCATCTTCCACACTGTAAACTGCTGCACTAGTTAGTAAAAAATATTTTTTACTAAAAATATTAATGCTCACAACTGATTCCTTGTTAAATCCATCATTGTTTATACAGAATTGTTCTATATTCTATATATAAATGTGTATGTGTTTGCTATTTCTGTTGTTTTATGACCACTTCAGTTATAGTCTAACCTCAGACAAATACAGAGCCGTTGCGCAGGAGAGATAAGTTAGTTTCACGGCAGAAGCTCCGTTTACTGATGCTTGGGCCAACTTTTCTTAAAATATAATCAAACTGGTCCTTGTCCACTCTGAAATAGGCTTTGAACCTCCCATTGTCCAGGCGGAGCTCCTGAATCAGCTGGTGAAATTCCCCATGGTTTTTGCGTTTTTGTAGTATCGGTTGCACGGTCTTGCACCCAAACACTGCAGCGTTTTTTTTTTTTTACTCTTCTTAGTAAATAAATCTTGTAACAGAGTTACAGCAAGGGTTTTTCGGTGGTGGAAATCCATTGCTGAAATTTCCTTGCTGTAACGGAGAGCGCAGCTGATGGTTGCTTAGCAACGACAGACGCCTCCGGAGTGCAACCTCGCGCCTAGCGTTTTCTACGCGTTTTTAGGAGCACCTTAAAGGCCGGTCCGTGAAAATATTGTCTGACATTAAACCGGTCCGTGGCGCAAAAAAGGTTGGGGACCGCTGATTTAACCTATTGTAAGTCGATGTACCATCACAAGGGTCTTGGAAATATATCATGAAGGTTGAAAAGTTCCATAGTGTTGCTTTAAGTTTATCAAGCGACAAGAATACATTTTGTGCGCAGAAAAACAAACAAAAATAACGACTTCATTCAACTATTCATTTCTTTCTCTGTGGGCCTCGAGTTGGTTCACGTTCACAGATTGAGCCACTGTAGTCACTCGGACTATTTTAACGATGTCTTTGATAACTTTTCTGGGCCGGCCAGTTTCGATCCCATAGAAGCCTATGGAGGAGTGATCCAGCTCTCAGATTTAATCAAAAATATCTTAATCTGTGTTCTGAAGATGAACGAAAGTCTTACGGGGTTGAACAACATGAGGGAGAGTAATTACTGACAGAGTTTACATTTTGGGGTGAACTAACCCTTTAACAAATGCACAAATCTTAATAAGACTTCTGGTGTCTGGCTTCTCCTGATCAGAACTCACACCTCTGAATCCTCGGCTCCAGCGGAGGCTGCACTCGTGACGATGCCGAATCTCTCCTTCCTCTTCTTAAGCTTTTCATCATCCTCAACCTGTGAAACACACAAAAACTATCATAGCAATTTGACTTGTTTCCAAAGGTTTCATGCTCACACCCAAAGCGGACTGTGCTCTTGTATTTGTTTTGTATTCAGCGTTTGAAATCAAGCTTCTCTGTGCTGTGTGTAAGCTTCTGCACAACACCATTACCTCAATGTGAAAACACTAATACACTGAGTGAGATTGTTGTAATGTTAAATGATCGATGTATATTTGTAAATAAAAGCTTAAATTAAAATCTGTTTATCATATAAAGCGATCATGTCTGTTTAGAAGACGGATTAAACTGCTCCATTCGTATGGATTACTGTTACTGTGTCATGTCTTTTTGAAGCTTGAAAATATTGATTGCCTAGAATTTCAAATGGACAAAAAATAATATTAATATTTAAAATTAAAATAATGTTATAAATATATAATGGCGTGGTATCGAAAATCAATATTTTTCAAGGTATCGTATCAAAGTTAGAAATTCTAGTATCGTGATAACACTAATAGATTTGCATTCATCCAAGCTTAAACCACTTTAATTTTCTCATATCCATTGCAGCATCAGCTCTTTTCTCACAGTGACTGAAACTTCTTCATAAAGGATTTGGCCTCTTTAAACCTCGCCTTTCCGAGAGCTTCTCTGCTCTGATTGGTCAGACGGCCCAGTCTGTTGTGATTGGTCTACTCTGCTCTGATTGGTCAGACGGCCCAGTCTGTTGTGATTGGTCTACTCTGCTTTGATTGGTCAGACGGCCCAGTCTGTTGTGATTGGTCTACTCTGCTTTGATTGTTCAGATGACCCAGTCTGTTGTGATTGGTCTACTCTGCTCTGATTGGTCAGACGGCCCAGTCTGTTGTGATTGGTCTACTCTGCTCTGATTGGTCAGACGGCCCAGTCTGTTGTGATTGGTCTACTCTGTCCATGAG